TTTTTTCATTTGTAATTAAATTACAAAACGCAAAAAACTAAGTCTTCGATACCACAGTTTCTCCATTAAACAGCTGAGAGTGTATGCATTCCCTCTTTTGACAGGTAAGAATGTCACTGCTGAAAAAGCTAACAACTTTATTTTTTCCATTCAAGACTAGCATAAAAGGAGATTCATAGGCCCCAATGGCAGACGTTCAATTATTTAATCGGTTTTTGAAGAGGAATATTTGTCTATAAACATTGCTGAAATGTATGTTTAGCCCACAGTCATCTATCTCTCAACTATTTGCCTCATTCTGCAGTGCCCTGAGACAGAACCTAATTGCAATGGCAACGGCTAGGCACGGATGTATGCGCTATGCTTTGTTGTACGGGAGCTTGCGGGCCCCTGTCCTCGTAGCCGCACTTCTGGTGCTCTTCTACCGATCCACCGGCTTTGTTCAATCCCAGCTGCCGCTCCAGTCGACAATGTCCGGTCGGCACTTGCGCCAGATTCGGCTTCGAGAGGAGGTGGCCGCCGGAACTGTCGTGATTCCGGATCTTCTTCGCTTTCTCGAACTCAGCGACACACCCGTCGAGTCTTCATCTCTGGCCGGCGGCAATGCTGCGGCGTCCAGTTCGTCTCTCGCAAAGAATGCCGGCGCTGAGGCCGGACACGAGACCGGCGAAACGAGAACAGAGAGCAAAAGTAGTCAAGACGACCAAATTCTGTTGGCCATCGGCAATGCAGCCATGCCGGGCGTTAGCAATTTCGGCATTGACTTGGCCCAACGAAGTCTGGTGGTCGTCTCACCGCCAGACAGAGACAAACTTTGCCCCTCCTCTACCAGCCCACCGGAGCACCAATTGTTGATGGCTCGTTCGAACAGCTTTCAGAACAATGGAGCCTCACGTGTCGATCTGTTCAACAGTCCAGGCTCTGCTTTTCCTCACGACCTGGCGGGACTCGGACTTAAAGACCGCATGTCGGCCTACATCGCCGATTGTCCCGTCTCCCTCTCCATCATCCACGGACTTCGCTCCGACCCCTCGTTCAGCCTCATCATCGTGCTCCTCGAAGACATCAACGATCATGCTCCCAGCTTTGCCGATCACCTGTTTTCGGCGAACCGATCGCGTTCAGCAAATCTGAAAACCGGACAAGACGAGTTTGTGATTCACGTTAAAGAGTCGAGCCGACGACCGGTTCGAGTCTCGCTTCCCCTCGCCAGGGATGCCGACTCTCCGCAAAACAGCGTTCAATCCTACCATCTCGATGGTGATGACGCCTACCTGTTTCGTCTGTGGGTCGGACCCGGGGGCCCGGCCGAAGAGGGCGGCTCTTCTGGCACCGGCCAGGCTGACAATGACTCATTCTCAATTGGGCGCGGAGGGGGTCAATCGGGCGAAGCGAAGGAGCCCAATCAACTGTGGCTGGGTCTGGCCACTCCTGACCTCCTCTTTACTGGTCAGCTGGGATTCGGACACTTTGACCGAGAACAACGAGCCGAATACCGACTGGTGCTGGTGGCCCAAGATGGCGGAGTACCGTCGCGAAGCGGTCGTCTGCCCGTGCACATTTACGTCGACGACATCAACGACCATCTGCCCCAGTTCGGACAGACAATCTACCATGCCCGAGTGGCCGAAAACGATCCACCGGGTCATTTGGTCCTCCGATTCACGGCAGCCGACGCTGACGCGACCGGTCCCAACAATCGCATCACCTTCAATATTCCCGGTCTGCTGGGCTCGAGTTCCGAGTCCTGGCCGGCCGACCAACAGGTCGAGTCGCGAAGACGACGCGTCTTCTCACAAGCTCAACTGGCCGCCGCAGAACTCTTCTCCGTTGAAGTGGACAATTCACCCGAGTCCGGACGCGTTGACTTTCCAGAAATGGCAGTCATCGGACTCGAGTCCAGCCCACGAGCTGGCCTCACGGAGCCCGCCGTCACGCATGGACGCCTCGTTGTCCGGCGCCACGGCGATGCCGAGCGTTGGAGGACGGCTGCCGCGAAAGCAATTCTTGCCGCCAGACGCCAATTGTTCGTGGAACCGGAAGCTGGACATTTGCCGTCCAGCTCGTCGGCATTTGGGCAATTGGAGTTCCGCATCGAAGCCGTCGATCAGGGCGTCCCTCAACTCACCG